GGATTACGATGACAAAAGAAAGGATTTTTTTTTCCAGTCATTTCATTTTGGATTAATTTTAGCTTTATGGAAGAGTTATGCTGGTAGTACATAGTATAACATTCCTACATATCCTTCATTCAGCTTCCTCTAATATAAACGGCTTACATTACCATGGTATATTTACCCAAACCCAACATCTAATACTGATACAGTACTATTAACTAAAGTATAGTTCTTATTCAAATTCTACCACTTTCCCCACGAATATTCTTTTCTCTATTCCGGAACCGAGTCCGGGACCACATGCATTTGGCTGTTGTATCTCCTCAGTCTCCTCCAATCTGCAGCAGATTCTCTGTCTTTCTTTGTCTGTTGTGATGATGGTGCTTTTGAAGAGCCTTGGTCAATTGCCCTGTAGAGTGTCACTCAGGTTAGGTCGGTCTGGTATGTTCTCATGGTTAATCTGAGCCGGCAGGGCTGTGGAAGACACTTCCTGCTGCTTCCCAGCCTCTGAGAATTTCTTTAATCCCTGTGTAACTAGAAGAAACACTGCACCATTTCTTAAACCCACCTTTTCACTGCTGCCTCGAAGGCTTCACCGTGGAAATAGCTCTCATGGGCACATCTTCTTGGTTACATATTCACAGTGCTGAGAAGTAATTATCCTTCAAATAGGCTTCAAAAAGGTGGGAATATGGGTTTTGTTTTACTGTTCAAAATTTTCTATGTTTAGTTAATCTGGACATTTTCCATTGCATCAGTGAATGTAACTTGGTTCATTCTATGAAAATTCAATAACTAAAAAGCTAGCAGTGTATTTCTGTCACAGACAATATTTTTGTTCGTATTTTGACGTGTTTTTATGAATTGTATTACAAAACTAATTGAATCAGAGATGAATTTTGCTCAGGAAGTTGAAGTATTTCATAAAATGAAATTATCATAAGAAATTGACCTAATTATTCAGAAGTTTCTAATGCAAAAGCCTCATACAGTTTTGAAAGTCCTCCGAAGAAGAAAGTTCAAGAATGCAGCTCCCCCATGGCAAAGAAATACACTTTTTATTTCTTTCTTTCTTAAGAAGTATAACTCTGAGCTTACAAGAACACAGCTTTAGGGTATATTGTCTAAATGCATTATACCAGTTTCAAAGTCTACTTTTCCTCAAAATATTACAGTTTTATGTAATACATTTTCCATCATTTTTAGCCATGGTTGGTGACATATGAATGTTACTTTTATATTTAACTGCTAAAATCCTACTTGCCTCACATGTAAATAGCCTACTAGGTGTTTTTTTTCTAAATTGTAAGGGAGCCGTAGTATGTTACTTTACTATGATAGGATCCTAGAAGGCTTTGGAGTTATAAACATTATCAAGAATTTCTTGTTTTATTAAGTGCAACTTGGATTTTACTTGCCCAGTCAAGGATCTGGCTTTCTCTTGATGACTCAGAGATTGCAGAGATGTGAGGACATGGAAGAGAATTAGAGAATTACTTTGATCTACTCATCCAAGTTAGGACTATACCCCAATGTCTCTGTACGTCTGACGCTGGTGTGTCATGACTTTATCTGATGGTTTCTCTGACCTTCCCATGTCTGTGACCTTTCTGTGCCTTGGATTTATCTTTAATCTGAGGTAGCCCCACTATGTGGTTTACTCCTGCTTTAGCCCACCCTCATTCTTACATCCCTCAATAATCATGCAATCCCTGTATAAACAAGAGGCTTGCTCTGCAAATACAGCTTCAAATGGGTCCCAGTTAGAGAACTGCCCTACCCCCAAGGACACTTTAAGCAAACAAAGAGAAAAACCGCTGTGCTCATAATGCAAATGTCACTTCACAAGGCCTTGATACTTTAGTCTGAGCCTCCACCGTGAGCCACCACCCACAATCTCAAAGTGACTTTTTGAGGTAGCACATTCATATACTCTTGTCAGCATTCACTACTCTCACTTAAATATTTGGGCTGGTTTAATAGGTGGAAACAACATCTCAGTTTTTAAAACATGAATTTCTTTGGTAACTAGCGAATTTGAATATTTCCACAGGTGTGTTTACTATACGTCTTCTTTTGTGAATTGTCTTTTCATATTTTATTTTTTAGAGTCTGAAGTTTTTATCAGTATGTGAGTTTTTAGCTGCACTTATTTACCCCATATCTATTGTTTTACATTTTTCTTTCATAATTTTTTGTTGTTGTTGTTGCAGTTTTTTTGTTCAGGGTCAGATTTGAACCTGCCACCCCCAGTATATGGGACCGGCGCCCTGCTCCCAGAGCCACAGGCACCGCCCTCTTTCATAATTTTTTTGATGTGCATAATAATGTTTTGTTGTGTAGATTCTATCATTTTTCTTTTGGTTGATTTATGTTTAACCTCTTTTATGCTCAGAAAGGTTTCTCCTCAAAAAATCTGATTTTAAAATGCAACTATTTTGTATTACTTGATTTCCCATATTTAAGTGATTCTTCTAGACTTGGTATTTGGTCCAAATGTCTGGCCACCTTTCATTCACCAGCTGCAGGTGAGTGCACCTCAGACGTCATGGGCAGTGAAGCCATCTAAACCCTCCCTCCCAGCTAGGTGACTGGCACCCCAACCCATGTTGCCCAAGCCAGAATCCTTGGAGCCATCTTGATTCTTTCCTCTCCTCCACCACCCACATTTGCTCAACCATGAAGTCCTGGGGTCCTGTGTATGTGGTTCTTCCCCCCCTCTCTTTGGGGAGAATAGGTGCTGCTCCCTGTGCTTGGGACCTTTTTCCCATTCCTACTCTGCCTGCCTCATTCCTGCCCAGGTATGTCCTTGCTATGTGCCACCAAAGTGTGCCCTGCTTCCCAACTCTAATGCCTATCACACTTGATTGCGATATCCTGCTAACTTGTTTGTGGCCCCATGTCTCTCTTCCTTAATGTGGAGACTTACCCAGTACCAGCTCTGTATAAAGTAGAGGTCACATCTAACAGGTTCCTGACAGGGCTTGATTTAAATACTTTTCTAGAGTATATGGAGGATTCATACTTCTTATGGTACCCAGAGGTCATGGATACTGTCGACTGACTTGTTCAACTTCCATTTACCTTCCTTCTAGGTGTCATTACAGTAAAGCAAAGGCTGGGAAGATAAAAAACTACATTTCCCAGATTCTCTTGTAACCAATCTGGAAATTAGGTTCCACCAATTAGAAGTACTCTTTTATTTTTTATTTGTTTGTTTGTTTAGAGACAAGAGTCTCACTCTGTTGCCCCTGGGTATAGTGCCATAGTGTCATCTCATAGCAACCTCAAACTCCTGGGCTTAGTGAATCATCCTGCCTCATCCTCCCATGTAGCTGGGACTATGGGTGCTTACCAGAAGGCCCGGCTAGTTTTTTTTCTATTTTTAGTAGAGATGGTATCTCTCTCTTGCTCAGGCTGGTCTCAAAATGCCTGAGCCCAAGCAATCCACCTGCCTCTGTCTCCCAGTGTAAGGATTACAGAAATGAGCCACTGACCCAGCCTAGATGTACGTTTAGGAGATATGAAAGGCAGGTATGGCATGGCAGCCACCTTCCCCTTGCTACTTATCTAGCCAAGCAGGGCTATAAAAACATGAGAACTCATCATTTCAGGGTCCATCACCACCAGCTTTGTGGGTGTCTAGAGGCAGTTGTGGCATCAATAATGGTAGTAGTGAGGATGAAGGTAGAGTCTTCCTGCTTCTGAATCACCACCCTAGGGTTCTCTCTCTCTCTCTCAAATAGAGCCAGAGAGAATCCTAAATTCCATTTCTCTAGGCTTTCTACCAATTTCTGTAACTACTTTTCTGCTTAAAATACCTACAGTGTTTTCTATACGGAACTACTGCAGATACACAGGGGATTTGGGGATGGTTCCTCTCTTACTGACCCAAGGGTTGATCAGTTGAAATTTTTCCCAGGGCGAAGGGAGCAAGAAATATTTCTAGGACTGTGGATGAGGCTGTGCTTACTGATTATCTTGTAGTTCTACAAGGGCCTGATAAATCATTTCCATTATCATTCTCCCCACTTTTCAGCCACTTTTGAGGTTAAGTTAGAATAGACCTATTAACTTAGCAACATGTAGCCAGTAGTAGGTGACTATAGAGGGGAACCCAAACATACAATTGGATGGAGAATATATGGGCAAATAATTCAGATCTGTAGCATAGTAAGAGTATTTCTAAATCAATGAAAAAAGTTAACAATTTAATTTAAATACAGGAGAACCGCTGTAAGTTGGCCACCCAAGAGACTACAACAAATTTGTTGACATTCAAAGGTAGCCTACTGTACTGATAGGCCTATATTGATAGACATGGTTCACATCTATCTATGAAAATTAGGTCAGCTTAAGGAGGTGGTCAATGTAAGGAGGTGGAGGTTCTCCTGTATGTGCAAGACACATGAATAGAGAAAGAAAAGTAGCCAAAAAGATATCAAACTATTCAAACTATTTTCTTATTGGATTTGCAAAAAAGTTTAAGACTTTTTTTAAGAGCAATTTTAAATTCTTAGCACGATGAAAGGAAAGTATAGAAATTTTCCATATTCTCCTGTCTCCACACTTGCACAGCCTCCCCCAGATGAGAATCCCCCACCAGGTATTATGTTTACTGATGAACCTACATTGACACATCATTATCACCCAAAAGTCATAGTTTACTCTTGGTGTTGTACATTCTATGGATTGGACAAATGTAAAATGACATGTGTCCACCATTATGGTATCATATTGGATAGTTTCACTGTCCTAAAAATCCTCTGAGCTCCACCTGTTCATCCCTCCCTGCCCCCTAATCCTTGGCAACCACTGTTCCTTTTACTGTTGCTATAGTTTTGTATTTTCCAGAATGTCCTATAGTTGGACTAATGCAGTTGGTAAGGTCAGCCTGTGGAATTACATCATTAAGTATGCTCTCCATCTGTCAGAACACACCCTTGAATCTTGTGTAAGTATGCTCAAGGTGGGATGCATGGAGCTTCTAACACAATCTCTTTTGTTTGGGGCAGGCAAGGTAGGGCCTCCTCTTGACATCAAGCTGGGAGCATTGAACTGTACAGCTTTCAGCATCCAGTGGAAAATGCCGCGGCATCCTGGGAGCCCCATCATTGGGCACACTGTGAGTGCACTGGGTATGGGGATTTCTGCAGTGGGTGTTGGGTGACTGAACAGCCTTCTCTTCATTGCTTTTCTATATCTCAACCTTCCCACGTCAATAACTGCTCCCTATTCCACCCATGAAACTAGAAGGAATGATCCCCTTTGAAGAGCACTTTTTTTTTATTAAATCATAGCTGTGTACTGAACATCACATCTATATTAATTAATCAGAATCTATTCAGCCCTTTCTCTGTTCAGCTATGGAAAAATATAAACCAAGCAGAAGGCCTAGTTCCTGCTATCCAATTGCCTACAGTCAAATTCGGAGAATAAAGCAGAAATGTGGGAAAAAATAAGGAGTTGCTGTAGAATGCTGCCAAACAGCACAAAATAATAGAAAATCTGAATTAAAGTAAATGTGTAGACAAAGTGGAGGAGGGAACAGAGAATGTATTCTTCTCCATCAGAGCTATACATTGGGCTGATTTCATCCACAATATTATCTTTGAAAAGTGCTTTTAGAAATGAGTCAGCTTTTAGAAGTCAGGACGCTTCAGGTGAATAGTGGGACCTCTGAAATCTCTGGGACTTGGGGTGATCTGACCAAGCTGGGTTACATTGTTATGTGGCACCAAGCCCCCCCTGGAGCTGAGCTGCCTATTTTCTGTGGGATATAGGCCCCTGCCCATCATACTACAATCTCACCACCTGCTACTGTCTTCATTCTGCCCTGGGACAGGAGGCATCGATCATGGCCTTGTCCTGTCATCTTCTTAAAGTGGAGAAATACATTCCTGGACTCAAGTTGTATCAAAAGTGGGCAAGTGGAAAATGACCTAGGAGGGTCATAATTTGGAGAAAGATAAGCAGAGCTGGGTCCACCTGGCTTCTCTGATCTGGTCTTCCTCCTGCCTCCCAGGCTTCTGAGTTTACAACCACAGCAGGTCTGTCTGATGTCTGTCCCCTCAGAACTAGCGCATGTGTGGTGAGATGATATGCCTTAGAACCCACTGCTATTGTGTGATTTGGATCTCTGATCTAAGACAAGTACTGGCTCTGCTCTCACCCAGGGTGTCTACCTGTTTTTCAGGTCTTTTACTCCGAGGTTGGTGCAGACAAATCTCAGCAGGAGCGGTCTCATCGTGTGCCTCTGAGCCGGGCCACCCACTCCACAGTGAGCCTCTCCACCCTGTGACCCCCTCCCGGGCACACAGGGTCTGATCTTTCAGGGGTATTCAAGTGGGTGGCTAATTTGGTGTGTGTGCTGCTCTACCTGTAATAATAATAACTGATGCTTGTGCAGTCCTGTAGGATTTCCAGATGTCTCCATGGATAATACCTCTGCACAGAGCCATCTGTATTTCCAGAAAGGCAGGCATCTGATGAAAGAGTCCTGGTGTAAATGCTTCCATCCTGCGCTAGAGCCCATTTTATCATGCAAGGAAACAGCCACCTTACAGCTGTTTCTCCTTCTTTTCTTCATGAAGTTCAGTTATAATTTTTTTTCTGAAATCTCAGTAATGCTTTATAAATAAATAGGACTCATTCATACCTTCCAAACTGCCTGAATACACAATGCGAAGGCAAGGATATAATTGGAATGTATATTCAAAGAGCCCAGGTTGTTTATTTTTCTTTACAAGCCCAGCACCCTGTCTTTCCACTAACCAAGTGTTGGCTCCTCGTCTATTTCTTTTCTGTTTCCCATCAAGAAACAGAAAATTCACCTCTCTAGGTGAATTTTTTGCCTTAGGCATCTTCTGAATTATTTTCTTTCGGTCTCCCCTCCTTCCCAGGCTACAGCCCTCTGAATTGCTGTACATAGAGTTAGCAGCGGTGCCGTAATGCTGTTGCCATGGTAGTGGCAGTAATGTTTGTGAGTCTCGTCTCATCAGTGCTCACTGGGTACAGCACCTAGTCTGAAGCCTGCTTGTCAGCCGGGATAAGGAGAGTAGCTATCATTCCGGAGTGCCTCTTACCTGCCAGGTGCCATCCCTCATGCTTTACGTTCGCTTTGCCATTTCATCTTCACAACCATCCTATGACCTCATTTTACTGACAAGGATGATGAGACTCTGAGAGGGCAAGTAACTTTCCCCCAATCACTCATTACTAACAGTGCCAACTATAAGCTCCAGGCTGACTGAGCTTTGAGCTTTTGCCCTTGCTAGTTTTACCAGAGCTCTCATGACTCAGAGAATAGATGCACATTTTCAGCTTGCCTTTTAAAAAAATTTTTGCATGACATGATTTTCATCTGAAAATAGGCTTGAGCTTAAGCACCCCTCATTAGCTGCAGAAGCCCTCAGCCCAGTCTCTATGGTTTACTCTACCCTACATGGGGGAGTGGGTTGGCCCCGTCTAGGAAACCACAAGCTGAGGTTTCCTCTCCCCTTGACAGCTTTGGAACTTTCAACAAGCCCGGTGACCCCACTAAGAGACTGCATCCCCCAGCAGTGTCCCCAGTCACCCTGCCTTGTGTCCTGCAGGGCTCACTGCTCCACTTGGAACGCAGTGTAGGTAAAGGGCACAGTGCTGGTGACACATGCTTTGCCCTTGGACAGAGCCTCTGAAATTGAAATCTGACCCATGACATAGAACATGGCCCACAAACTGGCATCTCTGTAAAGATCACTGACATAAAAACGTAAAACAGAAGAGTGAGAGGGACACTAGTGCTCTTGGGTTGTGGACCTGCTTCCTTCACTTACAGGTTGGCCAAAGTCACTTAACCTATCTAAGCCTCATCTTTTTCCCATGTAAGGGGTATAATTATTACACAGTTGTGAGGGTTAGGGATATGTAGGTATAAAAGCCTATGGTGAAATGTAAAAAGCCACATAGATGTTAGTTATCATTCCTGATGACTTTTATGTTACATATATCCTCTCCATTATCTATACCTAGGCATTAGTGTATGCTATTAAATTCTAGCATTTGATCATCTTGCTGATTTCAACAAACTTGCACAGTGCTAGTGTATGCCCAGCACAAGACAACACACAGTGCTTGTTTGGGGTGGGGGGCAGCACTCAGTCCTGAAAACCATGGAAACCACAGAAAACCACATCCACATCGATCAAACAACTAGGGACCAGATGTCATTAACCTGCCATGTCATAGACAGGTCTGGAGAGGGAGAGATGAGTGTCACAACAAGTGATCAAGAGGTGAAACTTAGAGCTGGGAATTGAAGCAGGGAACTTTCTGCAAAGGCATACTCAAGGGAGGAGACATCCCAATTGGAGGGAATTGTTTGAACCACTCAGGAAATGGGTGTGTGGATATATGCCTTTGTGTGTTTGAGGGTAGGGGATAGGAAGAGTTGCAGAATATACAGAATGCGGAAAGGAGGTAATACCTGGACCAGCAGTGGGGAACCTGCGTCCTTACGACCACTTGTGAACTTTTCACTGAATCTTTATAGAACAAATCCTTTTATTGTTATAAATACATTTTTGTCTTTTATATTTTTATTTTATTTTTTTAAGATCATATTTAAAATATCAAAGAACCTTTTCTTTGATAGGAAAAGCAGAGGAGGGGTGGGGTCTCAGTGTGTGACATATCTTGTCCCCTCAATGAATCCCCAATAATAAAAATAAATAAATAAAATATCAAAGAATAAAATAAGTTTCAATGAAATAATCCCTGGTACAATTAGAACCTCAGTAAGCCATAGGGCTAAATTGACAGCTGCTACACTCATGATTTAGTTCTAACTTGTCCTGCCTGACTGGTGCTATGCCAGCATGAGGCTGGTTGTCAAGAGTTTATGGGGGTCAAGTTCACCAGTCTGTTAGCAGCTTTTGACAATGGTGCAGTGTGTTTCTGTCTGAAGTGGAATTTGTGAAAAGTTACACAGCTCAACAGTATTTTTTAATTTTGTCTGCTGAACAGCCCATCATGTCAAAAAAGACCAAGAGAACACTGAAGGAAGAAAACAAATTATTTTTAATGAGGATTGGGAATTGCAATATTATCTTGTTTCTGCTAAAGATAAGTTGATTTGCTGCCTTTGTGATACTACACTATCAACATTAAAGAGATTCAATATTCATCAGCATTAAAACACGCATAAGGGCCACATATATTTTAAATCAGAAGAAGAGATATGAAAAGTTAGATTGCGGAAATTAAAAGATGAAAAGCAAAAGCAAAGCCAGTTCTTTTAAGCAGCAATAAGACCTGGAAATAATGCAACTGAAGCAACTTATAAAGTACCTTATATACTTGGGGATAAAAGGGAAGCCATTCAGTAATGTAGAAATTGTGAAAGAATACATCGTTGAAGTTGTAGGATGCTTAGACCCTGATAACATTTCACAGTACAAACAACTGCCTCTTTCAAGGAGAACCATCACTGGTTGGCAGCATGAGTTAGCCTTCAACTTAACAGAACAACTTCATGTAATACTTCAAAAGGAAAATTCTTCAATCACTTGGATGGATCAACTGATACTACAGGTTTTATGTTTCATTTGGGTCATAACAGAAGACTTTCTTTGCTACCAAGAGTTACTTGCTTTGGGTACTGCTGCAAACAGAACACAGGGAATATATACACACCTTCAACAACTTTCAAGATAAATGTCATGACATTGGACTGAATTTGGTAAATTTAGTGACTATGTGTACAGATGGTGTACCTTCCATTACGGGAAAACATGAAGGGTTTATTGCACAGATGAAAAAATATTAACAGATGCAGATGCTCTCATTTCTTTTTGTATCTTTCATCAGCTAAATCTCATGCTAAAGCTACTATTTTAAGTGACACTTTGCAACAAATTACAAATATTATTAACTAATAAGGTATTCATGCAAATGCAACACGGCATTGTCAGTTTCAGAACATGCTAAAGTTAAACCATGAAGTATTTAGTGTGGATTTGCTGCATTATTCAAAAGTGTGTTGGCTATCACAGGACAGGTGTTAGCCCAAATTTTATTTCTATATGAACAGATAGTTAAATTTTATGAAGAACAGAATCAGCAATACAAATTATTCAAAGAAGATTTCTATAGGAATGCAGCATTTCTGCATAATATCATGTCAAAAGGACTTGAATATTTCTTTGCAAGAGAGAACTAAGTCTATACATGATATTGTGGCAAAAAAATCCAAGCATTTCAAAAAAATTATCTTTTTTCAAAACTCTTCTTCAAAAGGAAATTTCAGATAAACAGTTTCCCCAATTAGCAAAGGCCATTGATAAGCAGGATTACATATGCAAATCATTTGAAGAATGCACAGCTGTCATAGGCCTATTAATTGGAGAATGCAATAAAAGGTTCACTGACTTTGAATCATGACATTACACTCAAATTATCGTCAGCCTCACCTAGTTGATATCACCATGGCAACTGAAGAAGTACAGGTAGAATTGATTGAATTATCAGTAGATGACCTTTTAAAGTCATTGTTTGATACCAAGAAAGACACAATTGAAATATGGAAAAATGCCATAGACTATTCACACTTTCTTGCTTTTCAACCACTTATTGTTGTGAATCTACATTCTTCCACCTAACAGTTAAGGTCACAAATGATCGAGACCCATCTAGGGGATTAACTGAAACTGTGGACTTTCATGCTACAACCGAATATTCAAATGTTTTCTGACAAAAAGCAGACACAACAAAGTTATTAAAAGGGTAGTTAACTTAATATTGACAAATAGTTTTTATTTTTTGCTATTAAGTATATAGTAGTTAAATTTTTATAAACAATATACATTTTTAAGTATATCTAACTAAAGTTTCTTGAATACAGCCTTGTTTGATTATAGTTAAATTAACATGGCCTTCCAATACGAAAAGGCTCTCCACCCCTAGATATAAAGACAATGAGTGTACAAAAGAGGTACATTCTGGTACAGCAGAATGGGTTCTGGATTCAGAAGACTTGCATTCATATTTTAGCAAACCAGCTATACTATCTAACTGGGCCTCAGTTTCCTCATCGACATAATGGAGATTCCAATAATATCTACATCATAATATCGTATCTGTGGTTCTCAAACTCGGTGAAGTATTTAACATTTTCAGGGAAAATGGCAATATCTACTACCAAACTTTTGGATGTAACTACTTCATAATGTAATTTGTTTTTACTGAGACACTACCAGTACCATAAACAGAGGTCTGAGAACCTCTGTGCTATATCACATC